ATGCAAGTGTATGTGTGTGTTGTATCGATACGCGATATTATCTTATCCCCTTGTATCGATATATCGCATCATAACCCTCCGCATGCGTTTCAACGTCTTTATTTTACCTATTATAATGATTATATAATCACTTTTATGAATATATAATGTTTATGATTATATAATGTTTATAATTATATAACCATAAACATTATATATTCATAATTTTCTAAACAAATAGTATACAGGAGATTTGATTTCATTGTTTGTTGGTTTGTTAAGATTTAACTCAAAAACTACTCGACCGATCTTCAAAATTCTTTCACCATTAGAAAGCTACATCTTTAGCTACAGTTTGTTAAATATACGATGATACGCGGAACATTGACATTAATATGAAATTAATAAACAAAAGTGACATTACGAAATAAAGTACAACATTGTGTTACGTACATTTTTTGTTTAAAAAATACGGAACTTCATATACGAGATCCATATTTGTATGTCAATGTCAATGTCCCTCGTATCAACCTATAAACAGACTGTAAGCTATATTACATTTAAAATTAAATTAGCGACCCCTAACTAAAATGGAGCAATGTAACCCAAGGTATCAAAATGTTACCTAAAAAGACATTATTTTGCGTGCGTTGTGAAGATTACTAACAATATATAAAATAGTGTTCTTTGTATAAATAGTTCTTATGATTCCTCACAAAAAATGCCGCGATAGTATATGCCTAACTGTTATAGTTAAGCCACAAGAATAGTGGTGGTATCATATATTAATCCTTATCCATTTAAATTTTTTGATAATTTAGGGTGATTGTGCACGTGTAAATCACCACTTTCAATTTAATAATTGAAATGTTTGATCCGAATGGATCGATGAACGTTTAGTAGTTATGACGGGTATAATTATCTAAGTAAGAGAACGGTATAGTGGTATCTTAATTATAAATTTCACTCTGATATATTTTGTTGTTTAAAACTAAATAAATATTTTCAGAGTTCTTACAGTTTTTTTCAGAACTAAATAGCAGTTCTTTTTAGAAATACACCAAATATAAAAAGTTCGTCTCAGAATTAGACTCTGTTTTTGTTTGTTACCTATTTTTATATACCTACCTATATTAAGTTAATAATAATAAGTTTAAATTTTAATATTAAGTTTAAATCCATTTTCAATATATAAAAGTCCTTTTCAGAGCTGATAAATATAAAAATCCTAACAAACAGTATAATCGCATGTTTCTTATCATTTTTATATTTTTCGTTGATTTAAATACTTTTTAAAACACAGATTTTTCTTACAAACCTGCCAAAAAGAAAATAAAAATGCCAAAAACACCAAAATCTCAACTATCTAATCAAACATAGGATCTTCATCTGTAAATGAGAATCGCCTTGCAAGTCAAATTGAAAACGCGTGTGAGGGAATCGTGCATCAAACGTTTACAACGTCGTGCTGAACAAAATTTTAGAATTTCACATATTTCTGGTTGTTACTAAAATAAGTAAAACAAGTAATCTACAAAATAATTATTTTTATTCAACCCTTTATTTTAGATCATAAGATGTACGTACGATGTAACAAAGAGCTGTGGATTTTGTGTGAAATAAAAATTAATAAATAAAATAAACCAATTTTGTTTAACTTTCATCTTATTAAATAATGGGGAAAACATAACATAATTATTTAGAGCAGGCATCCCTAAACATTGGACACTATATTTCCTTTTTTGAAAGAGTATAAGTAGGCATGCGATCGTAGTACATACTAACACTACTCAATCGTACACATTTCGTTCGTCAGAAAAATCACGTATTTTGCCACGTCACGTCTGGCGGCCCAGGGATCTTCCTCTAAATAATTAAATATATTTGTGCCGTTTTTCGTTTCAAGCTCTTACAAGAAAACATATCAAGCTACTATCACCCGACGCTAGGTGTCACGAACATAAGATGCACTCACAAACGTCCTTATCTCTTGGACTTAAAGATAATAATTGTCTATCGTGACTTCACACAAAGTTTGTATATTTCGTTAGTTATTAGGGTTGCGTTAATACTTGAATAGAATTTATCGACATTTTAATCAAATCCATGGTAAATTTTGAGATTCAAAACGTTTTTTGCTCGTGTGTCATGAATCTATGAATTAATTAAAGGACATTAACAAAATGAGCCGTGATAGCTCAGTGTCCGAGCGCTCGACTTTAATTCAATATAATATACTCGAGCAACCTGAGTTCGATCTCCGATGCCGGCACCAATGAAGTTTTTAACTTTAAGTGCTGAATTGTCACGTGCTCCGCGGTGAAGGAAAACGTCGTGAGGAAACCTGCATATTTTCGAAATAATAAAAAAAAATTATTTCGAAGATATGTGAAGTCCGCTAATCCGCAGTGGGGCCGCGTGGTGGACTATGCCCTGATACCCTCTGTATAGAAGAGGCCTTTGCCCAGCAGTGGAACATGTATATCTTTTTTTTTTCTTTTTTTATAAACATTGCCCTTACTTTGGGATAACATTATCCTGTCTTGTAAGGACGTTTTTACAAACATAAATTTCACGCGGACAAACACCCAGATGCGGAACAACTATCTGTGGGTCACTTTACTTTTTTAACAAAATAATAATAAAAATATGGCAATCAAAAGTAATAGTATAATCGCTGCGATATGCAGTTCAATGTTGTCATTAAAGAAGTAAAAAAAATACATGTCTATTCCTTTCAGTTTTGGTTTACAAATTAAGTGAAGAATTTCCCTATTACGTACAACCTGTATCAGAAAAAGTCAGGTTCCAACATATACTTTTATAGTAACAGCAGTCCTACACACACTGACACCGTGTCACCGTAGTTATGATTATTTTATCTCAATACCTTTTCTTATAGTGCGCTAAAATAGTCTCAGCATTTTCCACCGTGAAAATTCTTCGTCGTTATGTAATTTTATTTAATCATTAAGGCCTATGTAATAATGATCGGTGTCAATGGCGGACATCTATATTACCTAATCGGGTCATAAGTTTTGTCACATGTTTATTGTGAAATAATTGACAAATGTTTGTCTTACAATAATCATTTATGTACCATAATGTCCTTTTAACCTATTTTTTTCGCCTATTATTTCTGCACTCATAAATTACGCAAGACGTATGTCTCCAACCGCGTCAGAACTCGTATTACCTTCAATTAGTGACACTTCCGCTTAACTATGGTCATGGGGTTACGGCCACGTGGCACTTCCACTTGTTTTGCTCTATTCCGTGGTTTGAACTCTTGTTTTGGTAAATCATGAAAAAGACTATTACGGCTTTAACGGTCGAGTCAACAGCCCTTATTAAAATTCAATGATATTTTATACTATAGATATGTTATATGCATACAAAAGCATAAGTTTCCCTGCTTTTGTCAGTGGCATATGCGCAAACTGCGTGATGCCAATTTTAAAAAAAGCACAAGTTGAAAGTGAATGAGTGAATGACTGAGTGAATGAATGAAAGAGTGGGTGAATGAAAGAGTGGATGAATGAATGAATGAATTAATTAATATATTTATTGACAGAATGTGGCAGTACATTGTGATCTTAATTACTATAATTTGGTGCTACATATTCATCTGACATCAGCATAAAAATGTGAATTTGATATTAAATTTAATTAATCAACTTTGTCCTTTAAAATGTTTTAATGGAAATAGTAAATTTTTATGTTTACATTATTATTGGGATATTATATAAAATTGTTTAATGTCAGTATTATGTCAAAAATAGTCATTGATATTATAAATCATTTTTTCTAAGAGCGACATCGTTACTTTCTTCTAAACGAACTAAGGGGCAATTGTTTTATTTCTAATGGTAATTTATCATACAAAATTATGGCCATAAATTAAGTGTTCCTTTTTCCAAACAGAGTGATAGTAAAAATTCACTCGTTTCGTTCGAATGGTTTAAAAAGGATAGCATAATTAAAGCAATAAGAAAAAAGAGGACGGTAAGTGTTTCTCACTTTATCTTTAAATGTCGAGGTGTATGCGTCTTTCTCGTCCCCATATTAAACTTTTTTGCTACTTCTTGCTCTTTCTTAGTTTGCTTCACTACGAGCACCTTAAGGACATATCTCCAGTATAAAATATCATTGTTATAAGCATATAAACTCAGAAGTCTTCCTATATCCAAACAGAGTGAGACATGTTTCGTTCGAATGGTATAAAAAGGCTGGCGTAATTAAATAAGAGAAAAAAGAGGACGGCAAGAGTTTGACACTTTAGCGTAATGTAAAAAAATAGATTTACTGAGTTTAAAGGTGCGTCCATGGTCAATTGTTCATTGTCTAGTGACGTATATTTAATATATAAATAGCATAATTTATAATGAAATAATTCGAACAAACTATATTTATTACCTACATGACAAATATTTGTCACTTGAGTCATAAATGGTTACAGTATGAGCTTACATTTTCGTGTGTGTGCGTGCGTGCGTGCGTGCGTGCTTCGCTTGTTTTGAGTGCCTTTGTTTTGAGCGCGCGTTGTGTGTCTGTTTTTTTGAGTGAGTGTGTATAATATGTGAATAAATATTTTACAATACATCTAGGAAATATGGACAATCATCATTAATCGTCATAATTCAATGTGACTTGCTTATTTTGTTTTTATTTATTTTTATTATTATATTGTTTTTTTAATTAAAATTAATAATACAATTAACTCAGCAGCAGCTGTGAAAAACCATTCATATATTGTAATATCGTAATAAATTAATATTTATTTATAATATACCTCAAATGCATTCCATAAATAAATGTTAATCAAAAACCTTTCGTATACAGATCTCTCTCGTTTCAAGAACACGTGAAGTAGTTCGATTTGATATTATTATTACTCTCGTCAGTCTCAGCGCTCTGTTAACGCCTAAACAAGCCGAGCGAGCGAGGTCATTGCGTACAAAAGCGTTATCCGACCTATACCGATAATAAATTCTTCTGCGCTGTCGGGGGCTTCGCTGAAAATGGCGTCGTCCATAGAAATTGCAGAAAAAGACAGTTGCTTACTACATTGCATCAGCGCGAAAGAGATAGCGATTAGCGGCGGCAACTACCTAGGAATCTGCCAGCCAGCCAATACTGGCACTTCGGTGTACTGGCATTGGCATCCGCGTCTGCTCAGCGCTTGTACGCTGGCTCGCGAGTGAGCGGAATAGAATTATTCGGTCCACCTAGATAGCTTGCTCGGTCGGCACGGTGTCCCTGTCCGACCGATCGAAATCGAAACGACTCTCGGTTGGCGGCACGGAGTGCTTACTCTAGTCAGAATATTATAATAATAATTACAGTTGTAATTCACATCATCTTGATTACAGTTGTAATATTTCAAATTGGAAGAAAATGCAGTAGTGAAATTTCGTAAGCATTTTTTCTTTTACGTGCATTCTATGAGTCTGCATTAATTCTCGGTGTTTCATCAGAGGTTTATTTAGCCGGCCATTTTGTATGTTCGTGATGCTGAAAGACTGACAAGTTTCGAGAATATTTATTTTTTTCCCCGATTAACAAATAGTATGATGCTCGAGAGATAAAAAGTGCGTCCAGTTTCATATTCGAACAATTATGTCGTGAATTGTTTGAAAGACGCGTTTTTGTGAGTTTGAGTGCCGAACTTGTGTGAACAAAAGTAACAATAACAACAACATAAACTAGAAAATTAAACAAACAAGACAGATCTTTTTTCGAAATTGGACTGATAAAATGACCGTAAGTTATATTCACTGTTTTAAAAAAAGATAATTTGTTCCGTGGAAATGTTATCTATTTATGGGACTTAAGTTAACACCATTATATATAATACCAAAAATTATTTTAGTGTTTAGCATCACAGGTTAATTAAAATGCCTTTCAAACCATTTAACCTCCCGTTTATCATGATTTGTTTTAAAAAAATCATGATATAAGGACTGTTAAATTATTTAATTTAACACAAACATACCAATGAAATAAGAAATGAATAGATTTCACGAAGAGTTTAATGGGTATTACGATACGAAAGGCTAGTATCAATTTACTAAAATTATTTAATTTAAAAAAAAACTTATTATTTTAACTTCCTTTTGTGTTAATTCTGATAGATTTACAGATTTATTTTAAAGACCCGAAAATATTGGTAATTATACATATTGTTAGATATTTATTAAAAATCAAAAGTTTGTTTACAAACATTCTTGTTCTTATCAAGTGATATTAGTATTAGATCATTCAATGTGTAGTAATCATTTACCCACAGTACAACAATTTTTAACCACTAACTTTATGCTCATGATATTTTTTTCCTTAAACAAAGTATGTACTAATTTAATAACCTTTGTGTAAAATTATTCTTTAAACTAATATTATTTTAGAATTTTAATTAGAAATGACTATTGTCTTGCATTCAACTTTTTGCTCTCTTTAGGTAACAACGTATTTCTTTAGTTAACAGTCTTTGGTGCGACTTTCCATTGATGACCATTGAGTTGGAGATTGATATTTTTTTACAGAAAGGTTACATTATTCTAACTACACAAGAAAAGTTTCAACATGCAGAAAAAACTCAATATACATTACTGCCAACATGATAAATAAAGGAAGCGAGTGACGTCATGCTTGTGTCAATTGTAAAACAAATTATTAAATTTTTTTGAAAAATTTAATGATGTATTTTTTTTTTTAATTTAACGAATATTGGAAAAAATATTTAAAATTTCTTATTTTCACTAAAGAAATCCTGTGTTAAAAAGAGTTTATAAAAATACTCAAAGTTCTGTTGCACTGATGTTCTGGGTGGTTATAAAAAAATAACCATTAACATTCTAACCTAATTTATCCGAGTCGGATTGCTCTATGTCGGATCTTTGATGCAAAATTGTTTTACAATCGATACAAGTATTACATCGCTCGCTTCGTTTATTTATCATGTTGGCAGTAATGTGTATTGAGTTTTTTCTGCATGTTGAAACTTTTCGTGTATGCTTATAATAATTTTCTACATGTTTTAATGTAACCTTTCTGTAAAAATATATCAAACCCCAACTCGACGGATGTCATTGGAAAACTGCACCATAATAAGAATTTTTTTAATTGCCGTTTAGTGTTTTTGTGTTATTAAAATTAATTTAATAAGCTTACTGAAATGTTATGTTCTATAATTAATATATTAAATTTTTTATACAATAAAATTCTATGGTCAATACTACTATTAAGAGGCTTCACTGTTTACAGGTGTATCATGGCAACAAAGATTGAATCTGAATATCCACTCTCACCAACTAATGATGAATCAGGTTTGTTTTTATTTGATTTTATTTTGTTTGGAAACTTTTTATTATATTTATTTATATTGTTTTGTTTTTAAACTAGTGAATAATTTTGTGACATTGTTTAATTTTGTGCAAGATCTGTGAAAAATTAATAGCATTGATGTTCACCGTGTACTCCTTTTAGGGTAAAAGAGAAAAGAATTCATTTAGAATAAGTTTCTCCTGACTTGATTAATTTGTATTTTTATTTCTTTTGAGAAATGTTGAGGAAGTAATGTTTGGTAAAATTTGGCATTACTTTGTTTTTTCTCCTTTTAATTTTTTTAACTTTTCTTAAATTTGTACAAATAACCATAAATATTTTAATAATTTTATTTTAAACAATGGTGCACAATTTTACATTAAAATTATAAATGTTTCATTTAAAATTTCATTCAGCTTGGTGATTTTCATATTTTTTTTAATTTAATTTTACTTTGTCTTTTTAAGAAAACTTTTTGTACAACTATAAACATTGTTTAAATATGTTAGTTAGCAGAATACAGCTTAAATAATGATATAAAATAATGAAACTTACATTCACTCATTTTGTTTTACACAAATTTCTTATATTACTTTTATTTTATAAAATAAGACGTTTGCTGCTTGCAAGAAAAATATATAGGTTTAATTCTTTTACAAATATTTGAAAGAAAATCTAAAAAAGATATTTATTTCAGTTAGTATTAATAATTATAGCTAGCTTTTTTACAAAGAATCCCTAGAAGACTATAGCATATACAGTGTGTCTTTACAATCGCGACAATAAATGAACAAGCATATAGGGGATAACTTTTTAAAATTGTATTAAACATTTACATTCTTTAAACATCAATATTTACAGAATTATTAAATTTTACAAAACAAAGAATTTTAGAAAATCCTTACGTATAAAACTGTAACGTAAAGTTCTTTATTCTTTATTGTACACAGAGTATAAGTGAAAACAAAGTTACAAAAAAAAAATGTACAAAGGCGAGCTTAACCCTAAAAAGAGTTTTCTTCCAGCAAACCCTGACATAAGATTGATGAGAAACAAATCATTATATTATGATAGGTAGGTGTGTAAAACTAGATATAATTATACTCTAAACTCAAAATAGATATATAAAGAAGAGAAAAAAAAAATAGAAGTAAACAAAATCATAAAACGTATAATACTATTAAGTAATATGTAATAAATAATACTATAAAATATATAAATATAAAAATAAACATAGTGACAAATAAATGTAGTAATATTACAAATTTAATTGTATACGTACCGATGATTTACTATGCCGTTATGGAGATAAAAAATGTACTTTCACTCTATTACGGAAAATTTCAAGCGATGAACTGGCCCGTATGCAATGGGGTAGCGAGTTCCATTGCTTAACCGCCTTCACAGTGAAAGATTCGCTATACCGACAAGATGAGTGGCAAGGAATTTTCAGAAGAAGTGATTTATTACGTCGGCATTGAGTACCGCATTGAACTAGAAACTCGAAGCGTCCCCGAAGATATGGAGGAGCAAGAGGATTAAACAGCAAAAAGTAAAGGAAAGAAAGGATATGCTGATCTTGACGTTTATGGATAGAGAGCCATTTTAATTGCACCCTGAACTCAGAAACATGATCGTATTTACGGAGTCCAAAGATGAATCGTATGCACAAGTTCTGAAGGCGTTCCAGCTTGTTCAATAGTACCTCCGTAGCGTCCAGGAAACAAACATCAGCATAGTCAATTATAGGTAGGAGAAGTGTATGAGCTAAAGTTATCTTTGTTTTCAAGGGCAAAAAGAACTGAAAAAGTTTGAGGGATTGAAAAGAATACTTTACCTTTTTACTTATGGTATTAACGTGAGACACCCATGATAATTGAGTATCAAAGACAGCTCCCAAGTTTTTAGCAGAGTCTGAAAAATGAATCTGAACATTGTCATAAACCACAGCAGGAAACTTGGAATAATCTATTAATTTAAGGTAATATGAACTGCCGATAGTTAAGATTTGCGATTTCGTGGGAATAACAAGAAGACCGAAAGACTTTGCCCAGTTACGAATGCTATTCAAATCAGCATTTAGCATTGTAATAGCTTCTTCTGCATCCTCGATTTTGAAGTGCCGATATAACTCTAGGTCGTCAGCGTAAATATGAAAGTGAGAAGTGAGAGCGGTAGTTAGAGTATTAATAAAAATGGAGAAGAGAAGTGGAGAAAGAACGCTTCCCTGAGGGCCGCCAACAGTGATATCACACCATTCAGAAAAATTATTATCATGGTGAACACACTGCGAACGCTCACTAAGGTAAGAATTAAACCAGGAGATTACTGAGTCAGAGACACCTAAAGATGAAAGAATACCCAATAGCACATCATGATCCACAGAATTAAATGCACTACTGAAGTCCAATAGAGTTAAAACTGTGAGACATTTATTTTCCATAGCCCAGCGTATATCATCAGACACTTTAACCAATGCACTGACTGTGCTGTGGCCAGGACGAAAACCGGATTGAAAGGGGCTTAACAGGTTATGAGAAAATGCGAAAGTTGCTTTTGCACTATTCTCTCTAAGACTTTGGACGGAACTGGGATATAGATGAGGGATTAGAATTTTTCGAAAGAGGAATTATGAAAACTTTTTTCCAAGGGGTTGGGAAGGAGCAAGTATTTAATGAGGATTTAATAAGATGAGTTATAACAGGAAGAAGTTCGGTGAAAATAGGTTTAATCATCTGGAAACCTATACCATCATGGCCAGTTGCTTTTGTGGATATAGATAAAATCGCTGTTTTCACATCTTCCTCAGTAACCTCTCCAAAATTAAATGACGAGCATAGTGGTTTTGAAAGGGAAGAAAGAAAGTTTAGAGTAGCCGAATTAACAGAGGAATTAATAATTATAGGTGGTTCAGAAAAGGAACGGTTGAGTTCAGTTAAGTCAAACGAAACATTAGATTCCTTAGCCGAGTTACCTATACCTAGATTTCTAAGAAAATTCCACACTTGTGCAGAGTGCGAGTTCTCAACCGCGTCATGAATATGCCTTCTCTTTGCATCGCGAGACATTTTGCTACAGCGGTTGCGAAGTTTTTTAAAAATTGCCAAGTTGTTTTCTGTTGGATTCTTCTTGTAAAGTCTCTTAGCTTTGTCCCTTGCTGACATAAGTTTTTTTTATAGATGGAGTAATCCAAGGGGCCGGAAAGTGTTTCACTTTAACTCGCTTAAGAGGTGCATATTTATTAAAAAGATTTAAAATAATTTCGTTAAAAGCAGATACCTTATCGTCAATGTTGATGGGAGTAAGAACAGGAGACCAGTCTATGCCATTAAGTTCATTTCTAAAGGTCACAAAGCATATGAATGGGTTTAATGAATTTAAAAGTGACAAAACATACTGTTAGAAGGAGAGGCTTGTAATGCGACGCTGTGGCGCGAGTTGTATAGGTTATTACAAATTTTGTTTATTTTTTACTTAATTAGTTTGTTTGAATTTTTTTTAATTATGGATTTTGTTTAACGTTAATATTTTTTAATGACTATTGGCAAGTAGCGTTAGACGTGTGTTCATTTATTGTCGCGATGGTAACGACACGCTGTATATAACCTTTTAGATGGCAGCGAAATTTACCCTTGTATTCTAATAATATTTTTTATTGCCTGAAAACATGGACAAATCTTTTTCTAAAAATGGAACTTAGCTATATCGATTTATCGCCTCCAAAACCCAAGCTAAATTTCATGAAAATCTTTGGAGCCCTTCCGCGATTCAGGTTATGTAATATATTTTCTATGTCCTGTACACACGACTTAATCCGACCACAATTTATAAGCAAAAAAAAAAAAAAAATACATTGCACTACAATGTATTTATGACCGAATTGTGAATCTAAACCATTCTCGAATCTACTTGAAGACACACAAAAAGATTCATTAAAAACGGTCCAGCCGTCTAGGAGCCTGGATGACCCCAGTGACATACACACGTACAGAAGAATTATATATGTAAAGATAACAAATAATTTTAATGTTTATATTAAAAAAATATACGTTAAAAATTGTAATAAATCAAAAACAAAATATTTCTCAAACTAAACCTCGTTAGGAACTTTATTTGGTATCTAATCTTAGAAGACTTAATGAGATCAATCATTAGTTGCCACAACGTTAGTACAAAAAATGTTAATTTACTTTTACAATTGACTTATCACTTGCTTAGCGGTGAAGGAAAAATTCGTGATAAGTGATTCGAAGATAAGTGTGGGGGTCGCGTGTTGAACTGTGCACTAATACCCTCTGCGCAGAGTAGGACTTTCCTCATCGATGGGACAAACATAGTCTGTTCCTTGCCTATTTTTACGAATATCTGCCAACTTTTTCCCCATTTATGCGAGATCTAAGTATAATCATTGGTATGTTTTTAGTGCATAACCTGTTTGAAATCTCTGTGCACCCCACTGACAACATCTATACTATCTTTATTAGTTGACCTATCAGTCAACTAGCCTATCGGAAACGTTAATGCGATGTTATTTCGTCTGAAATAAAATGTACGTATGAATGATATGGTTACTTTATGGTTAATTTTTTCTTACCCAAACTTTACCAGTCTCTACACATTCATTATTTATCAAAGGTTTCTTTGTCAGCCAGTTTGGTGTTGTTGTAAGCCGTACCTGTGTCGTTGGCGATATCATAAGGACCGCCAACTGCCTTAGAAGAAGAAGAAGCCGTACCTAATTCTAGTAAAATTTAAAGTATTTTTTTTTGTTAATATTAACAAAATATTATATTATAATATATATCAAAATATAAATATTATAATGTAATAAAACAGACAGATAAAATCAAGTTAACGTTTTAAAACAAAAAAAAAACTGTCGTTTATAAGTTCTCATAAAGAAGGTATGGCAATGCCATCTATTGACAAATTGTTCAAATAAAAGAAGTTAAAAATGGACGAAAAACGTTATTCTTCAAAACATGCTACCTTTCATTGAAAAATACTTATTTATTCCACGGAATAGAGAAAACAAGTGGAAGTGCCATGTGGGCGTAACACGACGTCCACAGTTAAGCGAAAGTGTCGCTAAGTGAAGGCAATATGAGTTCCGACGCGAAAGGAGACACATTTTTCTCCTGATCATCTTGTTAAATCCTATCTATTATAATACCGTATGGCGTAATTTATGACTGCAAAAGTAATAGCCGAAAAAAATGCTCACGAAAATGCTTACATGACAACGTAGAATTTCTACGGTGAGAAATACTGACAACACACAATCATCCGTGAATAATTAAGTCTAGCGTCTTATATTATTATCTTTGATTGCCATATTTTTATTATTTTCCCTTAATTAACTCATTAATTCACTACATACATTTGAATGCTCTGTACTAGAGATGAAACGGATATCCGGTAACTATCCGATATCCGGCTATATTATTGGCCTCATTATTTTACACCTAATCATAGCACAACGTTATGGGCACCATTTATTTTCATAATTGCACGTTAAAAATGTTTGCTTTAATAATTAGTCAAAATTAACAAGTAGCAAATTGTTGTGAATGAATACGAAATTTCCTAAATTTGGTAAGAGGCGACTGCTTGGCTTCGTATACCAGACCAGCTTCTAACAATAGCCTTTCTCTGTAAACGCTACCGTCAGGTGGTGATGATAAATTCTAGCAAACCTTGACAACTGTGGATACTGACTCAAATTAACTAACCACCAAATGTATGGGTTGTGTGATATTCGGTAGCCGGATATTCGGTAGACGGATATTCGGCGCTCCGGTCTCGTAGCTTGCCGAATATCTGGTATCCGGCCAAACCTTTAACCACTAAGCTTAACGCCACACCGACATTAATCTCGGTCTTTTATCTACATACATTGTCTACATTTTTAACACGCTTTTATTGGACTTGTATGTATATATGTAACGGAGTCTTCAAACGTAATTTTGATCCACGACAAAACGTCGAATAAAATATTATGTTATGGGAGTCAATTATTATAATATACTAGCGACCCGCCCCGGCTTCGCACGGGTGCAATGAATTATACATATAAACCTTCGTCTTGAATCACTCTATTTAGTATAAAAAATCGCATCAAGATCCGTTGCGTAGTTTTAAAGATCTAGCGTTCATAGGGACAGACAGACAGCGGGACGACTTTGTTTTATACTATGTAGTGACGCAGAGCAAAGAGACATTTACATTTCAAGCGACATTTTACCACAGTCACTCACTTGTTTTGCCTTACGGGAATCCCTCCTATAACACTTCAACTTTATGGTATGGTATTAAAGTTCAGATTGACTTTTAGTATTAATACAAATCTTTTGTACGGAATATAGGTGTTGTTTTTAGACTTTTTCAGGCAATTTTTAAATTTTTCTCCGTAATAACCATCTTCCTACTTCAAGGAATGTTATAAAAAAAGAATAAGCGAAATCGGTCCAGCCGTGATGGCGTGACCAAGGGAAATAGGGATTCATTTATATATATATATATATATATATATATATATATATATATATATATATATATATATATAAATGAATCCCTATTTCCCTATTTATTCTCTACACAAATCTTAATATTTCATCTTAAGTGCAGAGATCATCGGTACAAATATTATTTTATTTTCGTATTATACGTTATTTCACGATCTTTACCGCTTATTTAGTAAGAATTAGCTGGGTGAAGAATGCCAGCCGACCAACTATGTCGGGTTTATTACATTAGTGGAGTAATTTGCAGTTGCTCAGCGAATTTGAATTGTTCAAGCGATCCCATTCACGTTGAGCAAATAAATTTATTATTATTCTACAAAAAAATATTTCAATGATCAATTGTAACATTGTATAACTGTTTATTTCAGATGGTGAGGATGGTCAAGACCGTGTAGATAACAGTGAAGAAGAGGAGCAGGAGGATGAGAAACCAGTGAAGAATGATTTAGCGTATTTATTGAAAAAGCTTCAGTCGGCGGGTGCCCTCTTGAAGCCCAAAAAGGAAAACGAGTATCATTGTTTCACTTGTGACCAGGATTTCGACGATTGGGAGGACTTGGAGAATCATTTAATCCAACACGTATCACTGCCCTCGGTGGTACTAGACAAGCTGCCGTCAGACGAAGAAGACACGGCCCAGTCCGGAGATGAGAATTGGTCGGACGAAGAGGCGGTTCAGCCGCCGTTTAAGTCCGAACCAAAGAAGACGCCGCAAAAAGTCGACATTTCCCAGATTCTAAAGAAAACCGGCATAAGCATCAAAAAGAAGGGTGACACTGATAAAAGTTCCGACGCCGCTTTAAACAAATTAAGTGGTTTAGGTTTTACAATAAAGAAAAATTCTACCCCTATAAAAAATGAAAAGGCCGATGAGTCCGAACTACAACAAAATGATTCTGATCTCATGCAAAAGCTGGGAAAACTCGGTGGGATTAAGCTCAAGCTAAAGTCAGATGGAAACAAAGCCAATACATTTAAAGTAATTAATGGCTTAAAAGATTTCAAAGCCTCCGACGATGAAGATGAGGGAAGTGATAACGAAGATAGTAGAAACGACGATGAATCGGGTGAAGATAGGGAGAATCAGGAGGAAGAAGAACCGGAATCTGATGAACAGCAATATGTTAATAGTCGTCGAAGTTCGAATAATAGTGAATCCGGGAAGAGTAACAAGAGTGTAAATGACAAAGTTCTTCTGGGCAAGAAAATTAAAAAGGAGCCTGTCAATACCACTAAAAGAGTAGGACCGGCGAGTAAGACGTCGGGCCAAGAAGGTTCTACTAAGGTACAAGGTAAAGTCTCACCCAATGACATACAAGCTAAAGTACCGGTTAAGGAATATCCCAAAACTAACACAGAAACAAAACCCGCAAAACCTTTAGGGAGACCGTCAGTGAAAAAAACGCCTAGAAGAGGATCCAACAACCCACCCGTAAAGATCCAAGAATACCAGGAAACTGAAACTAATTCATCACCAATAAACGAAAATAAAATTGAAACGCCAGAGAGACGAGAGTCGCACGACATGAATCCCGAAAATGTTGTGATAAAAAAAGAGACACAGGAACCTGCAAGCACGGAGTCGCAGTCATCAAACGTGCCTCTGTTTTCGGGGCAAATAAAATCCGAAAGGACATCGCCCGTCCCTCCTGACAGAGCGATTACGCCTATTATTGCAAGGGTTAAAACAGAACCAGACTTGTCTGCCTTTTCAAATTCTCAGCAGAGTTCGAGCTCCTCGAGAACGCCAGTTAACCCCTTACTTCCAGTAACAAAAACGGAGAATAATGCGATTACGATAATCGAAATAAATGGTGATTCGAACGATGAGGACGATGACGATTGTTGCGTCGTCTCCTCAACACCAGCTCCCGATGTAAAACCGCTCCTACCGAAAACTGAGAATCCGACGGCTTTACCGCCACCCGCCTATCCAGCTGCAATGGGGTCTTCATATCAGACTTCTGTGCATTCAAGTTATAACGCAGCGTCGCTTTCTTCTTCACGACTATCATCAACACAGTCAACGGAAAAACAACACAACTTCGATTGGAATCCCCCCGACTCGAAACCTGCTATAGATATATTAGAGAAAAGCGCTGACGAAATATTCGAAAGTCTTCTATCGTCCTCAACAAAGAAAGAAAGTATGTCTATGCTCTCTGATGCGAGTGAATATGTGTCTCTGGACACGTTAGGGCCGCAGCATTCATGCGACGTGTGCAATACGAGGTTTACTGATATATCACTACTTGAAGAACACCGGAGGGTGACAGGTCATTCTAATAGTCTCGTGACCCCATCTTCGTCCACGCTTTTACCTTATAATCCGGCATCGAATATTCTATCTTCATTGTTACCGGTGAAACAGTTGGCAGAACAAGTAGGCAAGCTGTCTACCATAGGAACTAGTAGTTCAGGGTTTACCCATCAACAAAATGTGATGATAAATATTCAAGCTTACCCCGGAGCAGGGGGAGTAATGGTCCCACCACAGCCTTACAACTCGTACCCTTCAGGTCACAATAGTCAAGCCGGGTACCCGCAAGTGCCTAATAACATGTATCCTTCTCCTGGACAGACAATGCCAGGTCAATACTCAGGAGCAAATTATGGTCAGAACAACTATGGCCAATACCCGTCACCCATGTCGAAGGCTGGCTATCCAGGGGTTGTTCCCCCAAACATTTACTCGAATGCTTCGTCATCATATTCAACTGCTTCTCCGCTTCAGAGCATGCAGCAATCCGTTTACGGGCAAGGTACGCCCAACCTACTTAATCAACAACCGGTCCCGATGGGCCCACCCGGCTCTTCGCCCAGCCAAGTATACGGATCAGCGCCGAGCCCCAACTCAATGAAGCAATCCACAAGTGGTATTAGGATTCAGAATGTACAAACTTTCCCGCCTGGCCAATTAGTCGGAGGGCCCGGACAGTCAATGAACCCTAACCAGCCGATCGCACCCGGTCACCAGATGGGTCCCAACCAGCACGGCCCAGATATGCACTCGGGGCAGTCAGGCCCGGGGCAGATGACGGCGCCCACGCAGATTCGAATGGCCGCCGGCGCCAACCTAACGGGTGCTAGGCCGAGGATGCCGAACCTGAGAGGGCCACGGCCGTCCATACGGCCCGGCATACAAGTGCACGGTCAGGTCAGAGGCGGCACCAAGGTCGGGTCGCGGATGCCGCTGAAAAGGCCCGGAACCACCATGGGCAGTGGGCCCGTCCAGAAGAGGCGGACCGACATTCTGCTGCCGGGCAAGCACGACAACGAGGACTGCCAAGTGATGGCCATGCAGAAGCAGCGCGACGGCCTACCGTTGATCCAAAGCGTGCAGGGGGCCAAGGACAAGCTGAACATCGGCAGTCAAATTTCGATAACAAAGAAGACCGTGAACAAGGAGGCCAGCGCTATGGCGAACGTGTTGGCCTCGCGGGGCATCAGTGTCAAGCAGAAACAAAGGAGCCGATCGCCGTCACCCCAGCGCCCTCTGCCAAACATACCGAACCTTGGCGCCGGCGTCAGCATAAAGCATTCCTCGAGATCGAGCAGCTTCTCAATACCGGAGGCGAAGATCGGCGGCGGGATGCTCTCGTGCAAGATATGCAAGAAGATGTTCATGAACTCCACTTCGCTGTCTGTGCACATGTCCAACGCTCACCCCCAAAGCAAGATCCCGTTATTCAAATGCGACGAATGCCCGGCGTCGTACCCAAAATCGTTGCAGCTGCAACATCATAAAAGGGTCTTTCACAACGTCACAGGCCCGAACAGGGAATTGGGGCTGCCAGTTGTTGATCTATCACAAGAGGATAATTTGAAACGGCTCAGTAGTTTAGGCATATACAGTTTTATCCCCCTGGCAAACCGGGAGCAGGCTAACGGTTGTTTCGGTATACCGGTGATATCGGTACACAACGTGCAGAACGGTATGACTAGCAGCCTGCAAGCGCTTGGTGCTGATGGACTTTTAAGCCTGGGGCCTCTTAAACCCTTACCAAATTCTTAAACAAGGACCCTACATGAGTGTTTAGTTTATAAAGTGACTTACTACATAAAGTGATTACGAATATTGATGTGCAAAATACACAGAAACAAACTGTCCGGTAGTGGTTAAATTATTATCAAAGACATTTTATTTTGGTTGTATCATTAGATTATTTATTACAGTCGTACTATAGCAATAGTGATGCAATACTTCTGCCTATGAAAAAACTTAGGTAAAAATTTAAGAAATTGTTTGCAAATAATTTAATGTTTGTTTGTTTATGATTGCTTTGCTCCAGTGCAGCACAAAAATGACTAAATTATTTTTGGGGTATTTCGTTTATTGATGAAAAAGTATCCAAGTCTCCCACTATAATTTAAGTTTGCGTAGCATCTTAAGAGGAAATATAGTTAGGGATGTAAAATTAACTAAGAGCTATTATATTAGATTAAGCATCTCAAATTAAATAATGTAGGACAAGTTACTTTAAATCACAATTTGAAATAAATGGCTAAATGTTAGCAATTTATAACTTTTCGCAAGACTTATTCTTATTATTTCAAAGGGTTGTAAATTACGGCGACGATTGTTTAGACGTCAACGGTAGGGTGGACTATAGTGAAATGATTTATAAGTTATATGTTGGTATTTTATTGCTCGACAAGATTTTGATATCAAATGTTTGTTGATACATAACTTTTATAACTTAAATGTACCCCAAAACTCATTGTGTAATTTAATAATGCTTACCTTTACATCATAGTCCGTATATTTATCAACTGTCTTAAAATGTTTTTGAGTCATTTAACCGTTTTGTGAATGGCTAAATTAGGTTTGTAACCATTAAAAGGTATTTTTCGAAGAAACTTATGAGTAATGTTGCTATAGACAAAGAATCTATCTCACAACACTGAAATAGTGATTCAGTGGAAAATTTGTATAAGTTGAAAATAATTAAATATAGAAATTATAATTATTTTTCGATTAAGTCAAAGCTTTGTAAATAGTAGCTAGCATGTTTAAGATTTGATTAATGATATAATGTTATCTCAAATGTGCATAAGATTTGATGTGGGAAAAAATTATCTTTTAGTTGATCATTGTTTCATATTAAGATCAAGGAAAATTAGAGACAGGTACCGATGACAGTTCCCATTTCTTTTTATTTTATAGTTAAAAGTTATTTTGTCACAAAGTTATTTTTTTTGTATTCATTGGGATCTTTAATTTTCTTTGACTTAAAACAGACCCTTTATAACATGATAATATAATTTAGAGAAGAATCTATTAAAAAGTTTTGAAGGCCAGAAGACATTCAAAATTTATGAATAAATCTTATTGAGTCTAAACCTTTTTTGGTGTTATTTCTTTATGTAATTATTTAAAAGAAGTAGTCATTGATTCTATGAATATTCACGATACGTTATCAGCTGTAGTACAATTTCAATAGTTCTAATAATTGGACCATTGTGATATTTTTTCGGCAATATACATGATTATAAAAAACTCGCTAAACGGGTCGCTACCCGCCCCGGCTTCGCGCATATGTAATGAATAATACAAATAAACCTTCGTCTTGAATCACTATCTAGTAAAGAAGCCGCATCAAGATCCGTTGCACAGTTTTAAAGATCTAAGGATACATAAGGACAGACAGCGGGATGACTTTGTTTTATACAGCATGTAGTGAAGAATGAAGATGCACTAGAGACATCAGTACTTTATTATTAAATTGTACTTTCATTATTAAATTGGGCAACTACGTATTTTATACTTCTCTATAAAATATGCAATTGAAGAGCCTGTGCTTTGATTATATGCTAGTCTAGTAGAAATAATTAATTATGCTGGTTTGTGCTGTCAAATTGTGTATATATGGTAAATCCGTATAATAACACCAAGATCACTTTTCATCGGTAAATGTTCTTATTTAAACACTATTAAATTTTTTTTATTCGTTATTTCATCAAATAGTCATAAATATCATCAAAAGCACAATCTGTCACAATTGCACATGTTCAAAGCCATTTATCGACACGTGGGGTCGGTTTGTTCCTTCCATGTTGCCCATAAGCTTTACGATAATTTTATCCTTGCTGAAGATTAGCATAGAAACCAGTATTTTTGAAGACACCAACGTCCGAATTTTCTACTTTACAACTGACATCTACGTACGTTAATTTATAATTTGCATCGACCAAACTTATGGAACCAGTACCTAAAAGTAGAATGCTGAAATCACCTTTGTAATTAAAAAAGCCACTTCCAGTATTATTGGAGCATGAATAACATGTTTGCCATCCATAGCCCCATGCAATGAGGCAAATTGGTTGCTGTTTTATCATACATTCTTCTGAAGTGTTAGGTATGTGAAAAACGAAATCTTTATTCATTTACATTTAATACAAGATATCCAGCAACACATAGTAAATGAAGTTTAAAAATCTCATGAAAGGACCGTCAAATAGTTTAAGGTTCCGAAGAACTCATCAAAACGTGCTGTCCAAGACCCGAAAATTGCATGCTTTATCGCTGCATAACATCTCGGTATTGCAATTACTAAGCTAATTGCCTTCAGCGCCAGCGGTTGTGGGTTCGATTCCCCACACGGGATAAGCGTGTTGAACGGAATTTCAACACGCCTATCAAAGCTGTACAGGCCTCAGGTGCAATCCGAGAAATAATTTCTTTTTAAAGTTTAAAGAAATACAATTATTATAGCAAAATAATGTCCAGTAGCCAGTATATATATATATATCTTAGTTATTTCAAACCTTATTGCAGCAGGAACACAATATCATTTTCTGTAGTTGATATCTTGTTTAGCAATAAGACCAGCAATTCAAAATCTTCGCACGATATACAAGTGAAATTTTTAAATCTATTTTTATTTCTTCCACAAATCTTATTCGTTAATTCATTGAGTCTTTGTAAGAAGGGCCTAATCCGACATTGCTGTATCTTTCTTAGTTTCTTCTTCTTTAAGCAGATTAAGTAACGTAACAAAACACAGGCTGGAGCACAAAGCACTGTCTTCCTGTGCTTCCTTCCTTGGTGGAATCTTACCTTGAGGCTCGCGTCTTGGAACGTATCTACGCCTTGGTAGGTTCTCTAGCATCTGGGGATCCTCCCTTTAGTTTTACCTCGAGGTGATGCCAGTCCACTACGGATTTGTTCGGAAATAACTCATTGGCATTCTGGCTCAGCTTACCGCATACGGTCTATGAATTAGTATATTTAAAGGCCCATTTACACGGTGCCAGTTTCTTGCCTGTTGTATACAATTAAATTGAAGCAATAAATAAGTTGCATGGTCTAAACAACAAATGGTCTAACCAATTTATTGCGCGCAATTTATTGCATTCAATTATTGCCCTTGCATGTACAAGAAAATGGCATCGTGTAAATGGGCCTTTAGGGATGTAAGAGAATGTCTCATATTATCTAGTTTTGCTTTGAACCAAATTGATTTCATCTACGCAGTTTAAAAGCTTCCTACTGTTATCGTTGGGCTCGTTATTGGGTCCTATGATTTATATTTGCAAATAGGTAAGGTCTCTAACAAATTGCATGGAATGACCTTGGTTTAATGCGTTAGTCAAATTATAAGATTTCAGTGAAACAGGCAGAAAATAGCATAAATGGCTCACGGCCGATGAGTATTAATCTAGAAGCCTAACGCCCGGTTTCTGAAACACTGTTCATCGTGTTTCAGAAAACGGGCGTTAGTCTCTTATTTGAGGCGTCGAATAGACTACAGTGCAAGGACCTCTTAGTGACTATCCTCCAAGACTGCTGTCATGGTAGACCATTTGTAATTTTCGAACTTGTTTGCTTGGATGCTCGGCTTAAGTCTCTTACGCCAGTAACAACATATCCTTTTCGCCTTTTGCGTATAAATACGAATAGTTATTTTTTTCGAATCAGTGATTAAAATTGTTTTATTACAATTTCCTAGAAGCTTATCGAGAACAACATCTATAGTTCGTTTAGTATGCAGCTGTAGATAGTTTTTCTTCTTAGTCAAGACGAATTTATGGCCTAGTGGATAAGGCTCTTGTGAATTAATTTTTATGGTACAAGTAATAGTTGGTGTTTTAGCGTTTACCAGATTTTATTACTGCCACCATGTGCAGCCACAATATCATACTTCTATTCCACACGTAGTCGATAACTACACTGAATCGATCAAGTTGGTTTTTGATAAATTTATTTTTGTAAAAGTTGGCCATGGTTAATGAGTAACACCTGCCTAATTAACAGGTCTGTTGTTCTTGCATAACAATTGTACTAGAGGCCAGAAAGTAATATAATGTTATTTCTATTTGCTAAAAATATTTACCATAAAAATTGGGCATTTGTCATGGCTATGACTGTGACCTAAAATATATGTATATTTAACAAATAAAAGGAAGCTAAGCAGGATACAGTTACTATAAAATGTTCTTTAAATTTATGACACCTTACATATCTTTACCTTATTATGATACCTTTTCTATTTTTGAAACATGCATGTTTATTTCGTTTGTTAAAGTTTGTGCCGGGTCATAAATAATTTTTTGTGGGAAAAATAATACATACAATAAAACCCATAGTAAATTTATTTTATCTTATTCCCATAATAAAGCTTATTGACTTAGAAGTCAGAATGATGGGATATTTTAAAGATTCTGTAAACACACACAAATGCAAAAGTTTGTTCTCATATTTGAGCTCCAAATAAACAAAGTTATGGTACTTAACACACCATATCCATATGTTATACAACCTTTCTAGTACTATTTTCCTTAATGATGCTACACTTTGTAGGTTGTTCAAAACATTAATATTTTAGATGTGCATTTCACAAAGACTAAATAGCATACATAGGCTTCTATGGTTAGCTATAAAATGCTTCCGGAATGTTCTTAACATAAAATTACTACTATGATTGTATTTTCTGCCATTCTGTTATCAAGAGAATTATTTCCACAGATATTAGGTTCTAAATAAAGAGGTAGATAATCTTATTGCACTTTTGTCAATATAATATCAAAGTATGTATGAAAGACCACATAATTTCAAAAAGCTATCACCTCTAAATTATTTCAGTTATTTAATGCAATTTATGCTGTGTATTACAATTAATTTACTGTAAACCTATACTTTAGCATATCTGTGATGGTAGTTATTGGTAGTTTATTGACAAACTATTCAAGACGAATGAGTTCCACATCAAAGATCAGAGTAGCATTCGGAGGAATTACTCCTGGATGACCTTGCTGTCCATAAGCATAGTCCGGAGAGCAGGTTAACTTTGCCCTTTCACCAACAGACATCTGCAAAAGTTTGTTTTTGATTATTACTATAGATAGGGATGCCTTAAACATAAACACTCAAGTACAAAATTCGAAAAACATCAGGGTGTTATCCTACAATTAAAGTAAAGTAACACAGTTTATAACTGCCCCACTGCTGGGCAAAGGCCTCCTCAGTACAGAGGGTATCAGGGTATAGTCCACCAAGCGGCCCCACTGCGGATTGGCTAACTTCACATATCTTCGAAACATGTCTTGTTATTATTTTAAAAATATGCTGGTTTCCTCACGATGTTTTTTTTCATCAATGAGCATGTAATAAATCAGCACTTAAACAATTAAATAGGATTATTTTTACCTGAGCAACTCCTTCATCCCATCCTTTGATCACTTCTCCCTTACCAATCTTGAACTTGAAAGGCTTGCCACGGTCGCGCGATGAGTCAAATTTCTGTCCATTCGTCAAGGTGCCAGTGTAGTGCACCACTACAGTTTGACCTTTTTTGGGATACGAAGACCCTGCGTCGAAAATAAATAAATCGAATGAGACTATGGACACGTATGTATACGATCACGAGGTTCATTTTAAATCGTATGGACATAATATCTTATTAAATCTTGTTATATGGCAAGGTGTAGCTAATTTTTTTAATCCTAACGTGTGGGGTATGGTCTAATCAGATTCAGATTGAATAAAAAATTTAATAGGCGTCTGAACAGGCAATTTGTGTTACCTCGCCCGTGATATATTAATCTGTAGTGTTAACTACTTTTGGATCATACCGTTAAGATGACTAATGAAATAATTAAATGGTAAAGCACAATTAAAGAAATATGATTGATACTACTATGACTTATCTACAAGACATACCATCCCCTGGTGAAAGCGTTTCTACGTTGACTCCCATTACTGCTCTTTTTATAAATTTTAAGCTACTTGCAATGTGGTTATGAAAGGGCGTAGACAGATTAAGATAGGGATGGGTAAAAAATATCGATATATCAAAATATCGATATTTTTTCAGAAAAATATCGATACTATTTAGCGATATTTTTTCCCGCGATATATCAATTTTCGATATTTATTTTCAGATATCAAAATCGATATATTGTTAAAGCTCTGCTGTCTGCTCATGCGTCACATCATGATTTTAACCAATCCGATTTCTTTAATTTAGAAAATATGCAGTAGGCTGTACGGGTTTAGTTTCTTTGCTTCAAACACAAACAAAAATTACTCTCTATGACTTGCTTGTCTATGACAATGACATTGCTTGTTGGTTTGGTTGGTATCACTGCACTGGGCTGACTGTATTGTATTTTAGAGTGTTGGTACGACGAACGTTGTTTTGTTGTGTTGTCACGAGTAAACTAAGCGTGGCTCATTGTTATTTTTATTGTGTGATTTGTATTTATGTTAAACGTCATGTCTGCTGTTTGGAAGTTCTTTAAATAATGTTTTTTTTTGTTTCTTTTTTTTTATGTCAAGCAATTCGAAATTTTTTTTTAAATAATAAAACTTATGTTGAAACAGCCAGATGTGTATTTCCTTTAAAATTTCGATAATTTAGGCAATTTTTATAAATAATTGCAAATTGGGCAAAAAATATCGATGTATCGAAATATCGATATTTCTTGGGCGATATTTATCGATATATTTGAAAAACATGGATACGATAATTATCGATATTTTGTTTCCATTTGCCCATCCCTAGATTAAGAAAAGCCTCTCATAAATGGCGTTTTTTCCGGTGTCCGGCGTTTAAACCATAGATAACATCTAACAGTTTTGGGTATAGATTATTATAGATAACCACTGACGCTAGAGCAGAGTGACGCCTAAAGAACCGATAACAAAATCTAAAATAATGGAATAAATATTATGAAACCTAATTAAAAAATATCTATATTGGCTTGTTTTATTATATTGTGATGAAATTTTGATAACGATTGAATTCGTTAAGTTCATTTAATATCGCTTTTATTAATATAAAGAGTGTGTATAACATGATATACACATAGATAGTGTTACACACGAAATAGAGAGAACAGTGGAAGGGGAAGTTGTTCTCACAGTTCCTTCTGACAGCTTTGGCTGCTGTAAGCAGCATAATATGGTGAAATAGTAACTCAAAGTCAGAGTCAAAATTTCTTTATTCAATAGGTATACGCTTATTTTAAGTTTTCATTGAACATCAATAACTACCTCCGCTTCACTAAACTGGACCGGTCCAGAGAAGAACCGGCAAGAAATTCTGCGATCTTGTTGTCTTATATATTTTTGAAGTTAATACTTCTTTAGGCGCGTTATGAAAAAAATGATAAGAGTGAAATTTTAAGATGCGCGCGCATCACTATAACACAAAAATAATACCTTTAAAGGTGCCCGCTAAACGGCTTATTTTTTTATGAGATGGCAGGATATTCTTTATCACATTCGCCTGTTACAGTTTTCAATAAAGAATGTGGATGGCGCTTTCATAATTTTATTATTTACATCATTTTTCACCTTTTTATTATTTTGTAATTAATTATTTTCATGCGCATCTTCTCACGCGCGTACGTACAACGTGTAAGTACCGGCACCTATTTTTTTAATTACATACAAGTTTATAAGATTATTTAATTATGAAATCGGCAGAAGGTAGGTGACTTGTAAGTGCAGAGCAAGAGTCATTTCTACAAATCCCTAGTCAGACTTCAGCTACCGATGGAGCCGAGGTTCGGCCCTCTCGCGCACCCTCGAATCGGAATGCTAAACGGGTATTGAGTGATACTCTATGGCTCTTCCGCCAAAGCGACCTGAGAGCTTGGCGGCTACCCAAACCGGTGAATCTTATAATAATAACCTGACGGCACGAGCAGAGGCTCCCTCGAGTTCCCTCGGGAGCCCTCGAGCTTAGCCATCAGTAACCCAGGTTCAAGCTAGGTGTTCTCAGCGCCCGGCCACTGCATGTCCGGTGGATTTGTAAAAGCCTACCAAGGCCAACAATGGTTGATCCAGCAAAAAAATATCTACACACTTTGTCCTCAAAGTATTCTTCGACACTATAATAGGCCCCTTACATTAAGGTAGCTTTTACAAATCGTTTAAAATTGTTTACATTTAGTTGTTGATGGATGTCACCTATTCTATTATATAAGTTATTACATTTGCCAAGAAACGATTTTCTGGTTTTAATCTAAGTCGAAACCTCGGCATTTCCAGTGTGTAATTATAATACATGAATTATTTATTTATTAATACAATTTATATAACTTATCCCATTTCCAATGTCTGAACTTTTTGCGTTGATTTTTGGATTCGCATACATACCTTACGGGTTTATTTAAAACCTGTCTAAGTTTATTTCTTACTTATGATCTATTATATTTACCAGTACCACAGATTTTACCCCATTACTATTTATTGGTACTAAGAATAAAAAAAATTATAAAATATGCTGTCACGTTTTTGGTATTACAGCTTTGTTACTTAATGAGAAATTCAAAGGATACTGAATTATTTGGATTGAAAATTACCACTACCCTAGCAAGAACGAGAAAGTATCAAGGCTTAATAATAAAAATGAAACAACAGTAACAAATATAAACACTTTATAACAAATATCCCTCTTTCATTTTACACATAGTGCCAGGCGTTACAAATTACAATAATTATTGGGTAAGCTAAGCACTTAATATTTTATAAATACAGACAATGAGAGTAGTATTTATTAAAGTAAAGCGGAATAGAGTAATAATATGGTGTAGATGAATAAAATGTGGTTTTACATAATTTTAACTGTACCACTGGTATAGTTTTATTTTAATCTAGTTAACAAAAATAAAAAAAAATGTACAAATATATATTAATTTACAAAGTACCATATCAGAAAATTAAACAAAATTATACTTAAATTTATGACAAAAATTCGTACATAAAAATTGGAATAAAACGGTGTAGCCTTATGAAGATGATTCATCAATGTATCTACTAAAATATGCGAAAACAACAAAGTAATAATGACCCATAGACTGTATCAACGCATAAAATGAGTATGCACAAAAGAACACATTTATGTAATTTTTTTATCAACGGAAGAACAAAAAGTCTAAAAAGCAAAACGCCATTTTAACAGGTACAATCATGTCGTATGAAATTTAGTTTAATTATATATTAAGTGACATTTAGGATGAAAGAAAGATATAAATCAGAGGATTTCTGTGTAACTATAGTCTTATGTATAGTTTAAATTTTTAAATAATTGTCAAAAATGTGAGCAAGAAGTGTTTTGAAATTTATTTAAAGTTTTATGCCAAATACATTTACATAATATACGTACCTACGTATTTCGATTATTAAAATTAACTACGTAAATATAAAATGGATTTTAGTACATTCAATACATAAATATAATTTTGGCGTTTTGTGCATTAAGACTAATACTACTTAAATTTTAAGTATAAATTCATCACAACACCGATTTATGATCAACCATTCATTATATGTGCGAAATTGCACAGTTTATATTTAATGCAACATTGATATTAGCTTAATATAATAATATACCTAATTCGAACATTGATTTAGCATTCGCAAATAGCAGCGCCCTCTTCCTCTTTAATGGGAAAAGACTTAATTTTTAATTTAGCAAAACACGGGTTATAGTTTATTCGCTTAATACATGATTTTTGTCTTAACCTAACACAATTCAATATTTATAGTTTAGCGGTGCGATTCAAATTATTAATCGAAATTAAATGTATGAAATTAAAGAAACATCCACAATTTCATAATTTGAGACAAAATATTTACATGAACTTTATGATCGTCTCCAACAGTTCAGTTTCTTTTTTCCAATAGTAACAATATTATCGGATTATATAGTATATTTTTATGTTTCTTTTCAGGGACTTAGCTTAGTGGGTAGTGTCTTGGCGCTTTATCCGGAAGAAGGTTCGAATCCCGCACAGAAAGTTTTTGTCCATTCATCAACAAAAAATTGAAATTTTAAAATTATTTAAGCTGTTGACTAAAGCACGTGCATACTATGATATTCACTTATAAATGGCGAAGGCGAAATGTTTTCAGCCAGAACACAGAGCTCATGGTATAGCCTCGAGCATGATACGACCCTCCACTCCTCGTAGATGATGATTTGCTTAACACATATTATAATAGCAACACATTCATAGTGCTGTAGCGGGTAGATCCGTAGGATACCAAGATACAAAATTTTAATAAATTAATTTTAAATCACACCGCTTAACTTTAATTACTTAAGTTTTATCATAAAATTAAACATTTATATCTTCAACTAACAACAATCAACAACATATAATTATATGGATATAAGCAGGGTCTACTCCATCAATACAATTCAAAGCAGACATTTTTAAAACTTATTTATAATATATTTATTTTTATTCTTCAATATTGTCATGTTTTGGTTTTTAAAATAATGGTGATGTAACTTTTAGTATTTTCTGATCGTACTAAACTTTTAGTATTATTATAAATACGCGAAGTGTTTTATACATTATTATTTTATCAGCGGGTAAAATAAATTTTGCATTTTGTTTAGCCGACTTAAAATTGTTTTAGGTCACAACTTGTCTTTCCTATGCGAAACGGATATAACCTGCTGGAAATAGCGGTTTTTTTAAAAGCTATTTTAGAAAAAAAAATCTAATTTTGTTTTTACGTCTCGTTTTTGTGATATGTTTATGTGAAATTTATATTATGATATTCCTTTTGTACGATTTGTGAGTTTCATTTAAATAAATGTCTAACTATTTCTAACTACATTTGGCATTTCTTTTGGCTCAATGTACAAGTAGCTCTTTTATTAATTTGTTTCGATTGGTTTCTTATCGTGGCATTGACAAAGAAACAAATAAAATAAAAAATCTTTTCAATAAATTAAATTGAAAAGTTTTTCAAAACAGTTTCAATGTATTTATGTTCGATTTTTCAGTGAAGTTATACGGTGAAGTTTTTAGATACTAAAACTACTAAAATAAAAACCAATGTTAAATTTATACATCATTTGTCATTTGTGAAAGTTACAGTAATATCGGATTATTTAATTTTTCATAGCCTTTTTACATCTAGGTATTATAAAAATAATTCTAAATTTTATGACTAATGAATAACAGTTTATAAATTAAGCTACGGATACAAAATAGGACTTGCTGTTAATAAAACATAACATTTAAAAAAGCAAAAATTTAACACCAATCCGAAGGCCATTTGCACAGAACCATAAAATTCTTTAAACAAAAGACTAAAATAAAATAAAATAGAATAAAATTCTAAATTAGGTGATAGTAACGATATATATTTTTTTAAATGTTAAGGCAAAGAAAATTTATTTAAAATATATAAGTTATTATGTTAGGCTTTAATAGCATCCCATATTAAAGACAGAATACAAAAAATTGATGAAAATGTTTTTTCACTTGGTTACGTTGGTTTTTCCCGCGTAATGTAGAAGCAGCTATGAAACAAGAGGACTGAAGGTTAAATCAACATCGGCAAAACCTTTAAAAGAACGTTTTAAAATTGCAAATGAAAAGTATTTTTAAAATAGGTATCTTATTGCGTTCACGAAGATTTTTGGAGTTATGCACCTTCTCCTAATTTCTTACCTTATAATACTCGGCGATTAATATTGCACATCGACCTTTGGAACTTGACAATCAGCTAACTTCGGGGGTTATCTGTCGCAAGAAGCGCTCTACGAAACCGATATTAGCCGTTTGTCTCTTTCTAAAGGCCGTTGTGCATTATTTATCGCAAAGTGCTATAAGGACGAGAATAACAACAGCTAATCTTAAGGTTTGATAAAGCATTTAAAGTTTTGTTACAAAAAAAAACAGTTTATTTTTAGCTTCCGCCACGCGTTCTGTGTAAATAGCCAAGACCGGCGTCGCTTGCGATAATTCGTTCGGGACGTGAGGACGGAGTGGAGGCGGTCGACGGGCCGAGCTCACGGGGTCGTCGGCTCCTCCTCCTGGTGGTGTTTCGCCAGCGCCAGCAGGATCATGGTCAGCTGCTTCCTGCTGATCTTGCCGTCGCTGCTGTACTCGACGCCCTGGAGTATGGTCTCCTCAAACTCGAGGAGGTCCTGCGCGTCGTAGTCCTGTGGGCGATGCGCAATGTTAATACGGCCTGTCTTAAACTTAATGTAATTTATTATAAACTTAATCATCTATATACAGCGTGTCGTTACCATCGCGACAATAAATGAACACACGTCTAACGCTACTTGCCAATAATCATAAAAAATATTAACTTTAAACAAAATCCATAATTAAAAAAAATATTTTTCAAACAAACTAATTAAGTAAAAAAGAAACAAAATTTATAACACCTATACAACTCGCGCCACAGCGTCGCATTACAAGCCACTCCTTCTAACAGTATGTTTTGTCTCTTTTAAACTCTTTCAACCCATTCATATGCTTTGTGACCTTTACAAATGAACTTTACGTTACAGTTTTATACGTAAGGGTGTTTTAAAATTGTTTGTTTTGGAAAATTTAATAACTCAGTAAATATTGATGTTTAAAGAATGTAAATGCTTAATACAATTTTAAAAAGTTATCCTCTATATGTGTGTTCATTTATTGTCGCGGTGGTAACGACACGCTGTATATATATGAAATGTTGGGTCCGCTAGTATATAATAAATGTGGTTGTAAATTTATGATTGGTCTTTTTGACGTGCAACAGGGGTGGGTATATAAACTAGAATCTGATGTGGAAATATGATAGAGCAGTTTACATCCAATCGTGAGAAAGCATCTTATTGAAATAATTTTAGGATTTCAATATAGGTATCGTCTTTCTATGACATTTATTTGAATTTCAAGTCTTTTAACTCTGTATTATAATTGTTAGAATTTCTGTAATTGATACGAAAACAATAAAAATGTACAGAGATGTCCGTTTATACGTGCGTTTATATTATTAAATTGATAATTTTGATTAATATTGACCAATATTAAAAGCAATAATCAATTACATTTACCTGCGAATAGAATTAAGTTTACCTGCGAAATTGAAAATAATTTTCACTCTAGGTATACATTTCGAACAAAACTTGGTTTCTTTTTGTCGAATTATAGTAAGTCCCATCACCACAACTTGATATAAAATTAAACGTCATTTTACCTCAACGGACTATTATAGCAGTCCAAATGTATCCATTGATTTAAAACAATTGTTAGCAATTAACTCATTGCGGACAGTAAATTCCCGTTAGCAGTGTGTGAATACGATTGACTAGACTTACAACTAACACAATAATGCGGAACCGGCCCTTCTTACAAATACATATTGTAGAATCACATACCTTCTTAACCAATTCCAATAGATCCTTTAAGAATCCTCTCAGCTCCTCGTTTTCTATTGAGCCATTGTTATCCTGGAAGTACGATATTACGATATTGAGTTACCAAGGAAGTTTTGACTCTACAAATAGAAAAATGATTTTCAATTACGTTTAAATTTTATTTTTCTGTTATGACTTCTTGTGTTTACGCTAATATCTTAAATGACACATCACAGACAGCCTATCCCAAATCAAATTAATAATATAAAACACTTGACACATTTGTATTAAAAGAAAAAGTAAATGAAAAGACATCATCTTTTTATTCATTTGAAACCGTATTATTAGAATTAGCAGCAGTCTTCAACGTAAACTAACAATAAAATGATTCATGATGTGTGACACTAACACATGGACTAGTGTTAGTGTCACACAGCAGCTCCCGCTGTTGCTCTGATAGACAGGTTTCCAGGGAAGTACCATGGCCTGACAGAAGATTGGTGTTAAGCGGAAGTATTATACTTTCGCATTTCGCAGTGTGGCGAGTAAAGTAACCGGGGTCCACTTTTAAATTGGCTGGCAACGTATCTCTAACCTAATGGGTGTTATAGATATCCTGTCCATGGATAGTCGTTTAACAGCGGTAGTCATTTAACATCGGGTGAACAGCCTGTTCAGACATCATTCAAAAAATTCTAGATTGTAGTATAAACTAAAGACCATTAATCTCATTAAAATTAGGAAGTATTCTCTAAGATTCTTTTTATACATGCCATTTTATAACCCTTGACTTATGCGTTTATACGCCATATTACATAAATTTCCCCATGTCTCATATTATAATTACATACTTACCCTGTCATATAATGAAAACACCCTTTCGATGTCATCCTTCGTCAATTTCGTTGCACCCTGAAATTATATTCACTGTTCACCTCATGATAGGCATCAAAGCAAAGGAAACATAAAATATAACTCTTTTAGAAAAAACTACAACATATATAATAAGTGTTTATTTGTAGCTGAAATCTATAGAATAAATTTATTTGTTTTAATAGAAAAAAAGAGAATGTTATTTTTATTTTATAAAACTATAAAGAAAACTAGCTCAATAACGATGCAGTGAATAACTCATGTTATATTTTCGTAACTAGATAACCCAAAGGACAATACAATATTGTGGTATGGTTCGCCGCATAATATTAATTTTTAATTTAATTAAAAACTTAAAGGCACCTGCGTGAAGTCCTCTCTCAGGTGCATAATCGAATAAAACGTTGATCGCAATTGTACACGTTTTGAGAGAGCGAGGCAGAAAGCGAATAGCAAGAGAACAAGCGCGGTCCGTAGCAGAGATTAATTAAAAAAAAATATTTATTGAGACAAAAACATATCAAATATGGTTGGCAAAGCCTGAAATTATTCCTCATGTATATAATACGTTCCGTATATTACCTATAAATTATTTATAACGTAGCCAAAAACGCTCGAGCAATTAATAATGTAAGACCAAATTACAAGGGTAACGTGACACGTGATTCGGGACAGCTTCTACTATATATGCTTATAGAGTGTTCCAATTCAAATCCCAAGAGCTATTTCGTACCTTATTTCGTCAGCAGATACTTGCTTAATTTGTATACAGTGGATCATGAATTATTTTATTGCTGTACGGAAAGTAAATCGCACGATTTCTGCGCTACCAAATTCTTGTTCTAACTACAGTTTCTCCAATTTTTACACAACAAAAAGAAAAAAAAGGGAAAGGAATTCCGTAAAGAGAGATAAGATTTCGCCTTTCCTAGAATTTCTCGATGTATTCGTTTAAATAGATATCATATTTAAGAAAATCATATATTGTATGTAAATGTTTTAAATGTAGTGAACATTAAGTTTTTCCGCCTAAACACAATCATAGGACTGTGAGTAATTTCGTGTTTAAAACCTTTTATCTAAGTTAATATCAATTATAAAGATGTATTTAGCCGTTATTCTATGCAAAATTATCCTTTTTGAAGCTGGCAGCACTGCATTGTTATTGAGCCGTATGAGGACTCACCTCTATGCCCTCCTATGAGTGCGGTGTGCGAAACACAAGCGAAGTGTTAGGATAGACGCAAGAGATAGGCAAAACAAATAGAAAGTGCCATGCTTTATTTGTTTACTTAATTCTGTTGCAATCTAGATTACACTAAAAAGTGCTTCAGAGATTTTTTAAGAAATCAATTGTTGTAATGAACTAATATGTATAGATAAAACTATTAGTATTATATAATTCTATGCATTTTGGCACGTATATTTGTAATTTTAAAGAGTGTTGTATATAAATTTATTGTATTTCAAAAGTTAACTTTAAATGTAGGCTATTAATATATATTAGTACTACATCTATTTTTCTTTCTAGTAAAATGTCTGAGTGAAAGTAGATGTGTGTGAATTGAAAAATATCATATGGGTATGAAGCGTTGACTGTTGGATAATTGCCAATTAAAGGATGCTATTTCACAAGTGCATGAATTGTTAAATTAAATTTTAATGTGAAAATTAGCAGAATTTTCCATATCGTAGTGAGTTCAATAAATCAAATGATAGCGAAAATAAAGCTATATCGTGAAAAATAACAATTTTATATAGATATTTATGTACCGCATAAGTGACAATTAATTTAAAAGTAAACGTGCAAGTGAGATTCAGATAACAACAGACTGAATTTTTTTTCTTTAATAAAATGACCAATTTTTTAATAAAATATTTATCATCTGTCAGTCTGTGATTACCTTAATTAATATTAAGACTGTGACAAATTTTGAAATTATGGATGCCATTATAGTCAAATTTTATGCCAACAAATAGTAATGTATTGGCATAAATTTTGATAAGTTTATAAAACAATTTAAGCAAACGTTCTAAATGAAACGATTTCTATCGACCAAAAAGAAAAATGAGAATTTCAAATTCCGTTTGCCAGTTTCATTAGATGTGTTGCTATAATAAAATATGTTTTATAAGCGAAAAATTATGTTATAATTATAATCGAAACTGATAGATTACAATACGTGTAGATGAGAAAGGGCGAAATGATTAGAGAACCTCTCACTGGCCTTGGAGAGGTTAATAGAATTAAAACTTTCCTTACCTTGAAAACTTGTCTACACAGGAAATTTTCCTTGACTGGCAGCAACCTGTAAATGTCGTAGATATTAATTTTTAAGTGCAGTTTGACATTCGCAAAATGATAAAGCAAACTGTCTTCGATGTCATAAGTTTCTTTGAGATTAAATATACAATGTATATTATTATATAATTTTTTTTTATGTGAAAAGTTGCCATACCGCCTCCCATTGACATCTCCTACACCTGAGGGTTTGCAGATACGTTGACAACCTTTTTGGAAATTGGTCTCCGGCTACATCACTCACCAGACGAAACGCGCAAAGTATTTCTCATACTTCCAGTTTACGAAGGTTTTCTGTGAGGTCGTGGTACTTACCCGGACGAGCCTGCCCTTTAAAATTAACACGTTCGTAAGTAAGCTACCATATCGGTTAATTTGGTGGTTTTAAATATAAAATTTAATAAATAGACCTCCAATTATGGAGATAGATTGGCCATATGTTGAGATTTACCCAAGAAAAGTGGAGCCAAATTACAACGATTTGGTATCCTTAATCCAAGAGACATCCAGGACGACAACTAATGCACTAGGAAGTTGAGCTGAAACTTACTACGGGACCCTAATGGAGAAGAGTTGCTCAAGACAGGAAGCAATGGAAACTAATGAAGGAGGCCTTTGCCAAAAGGCACAAAGAGTTGAAAGATATCCTATAACCAAACGAACCAAAGAATACAGCCATAAAGAATAAATCCCTCACTCAGTTTAACGGGCTAAATAAATAAATATTAGCTAGAGGGGTTCATATCTCATCATCATCATCATCATTTCAGCCTGTTTGAGTCCACTGCTGAACATAGGCCTCCCCCATAGACTGCCACGAAGTACGATCCTGAGCCACCTGCATCCATCGACTTCCCGCACCTTTGCACAGGTCGTCACTCCATCTAGTGGGGTGTCGTCCTACACTGCGATGGCCAGTACGAGGCTGAACCTTTCTTCCCCAACGGTTATCGGTTCTACGAGCTATATGGCCGGCCCATCGCCACTTCAGCTTGCTAATCCTCTGAGCTATGTCGGTTACCTTGGTTCTACTGCGGATGTCTTCGTTACGAACTCTATCACGCAGAGAAATACCGAGCATAGCTCGCTGAGCGACTTTGAGCTTCCTCATACAGCCAGCAGTGAAGGACCACGTCTCGGTTCCGTAGGTCATCACTGGCAACACACATTGATTGAAGACTTTAGTCTTCAAACATTGAGGTATATTCGACGAGAAGATTTGCCGAAGTTTCCCGAACGCTGCCCATCCGAGTTGGATTCGCCGATTGACCTCTGCGTCGAAGTTGGACTTACCTAGCCGGACTAACTGTTCTAGGTAAACGTACTCGTCAACAACTTCGAGCTCAGTGCTCCCAACAACAACCGGTATAGGCGTGACATGGACATTAGACATGATCTTCGTCTTGTCCATGTTCATCTTAAGGCCCACCCGTTGGGAGACACTGTTGAGGTCATTGAGCATAGCACCCAGGTCCTCCAGCGATTCTGCCATGATGACTATATCGTCGGCAAATCGAAGGTGGGTGATGTATTCGCCATTGATGTTAATACCTCGTCCTTTCCAGTCCAGAAGCTTGAAAACATCTTCCAACGCAGCGGTGAAGAGTTTCGGGGATATGACATCACCCTGTCTTACACCCTTCTGCAGATGGATAGGTTTTGTACTACTGGACTGTACTTGGACGGACATCGTAGCCTTGTTATACAAACACCTCAGCACTTCGATATACCGACAGTCAATTTGGCACCTCTGAAGAGCCTGGAGTACCGCCCAAATTTCGACAGAATCGAAGGCTTTCTCACCTCTGAATACGCTAGCCTGGAGTACTGCCCTGCCGCAAGGTGTGTATGTGGTCTATGGTACTGAAGCCTTTCCGGAATCCGGCTTGTTCGGGAGGCTGGAAGTCGTCGAGTCTGGAAGCTAGACGATTCAAGATGACTATATCTACTTTATATCATTGTGTCACCAAGGTGTTTTTCGATACGTTTGTTATTTAGATTTTAGCATTATCGTTAAATTGTGGAAATAGTCGAGTTGCCACTTACATAAGGCTATACATATAATATAAGGTAAAAAATAATAGTCTTCAACCTCCCTTTACCCGCAATAGTTATTTATAATACATTGTATGCCAAATGACACAAATTGCCAAGTTTTAAACTGGGAAAGGCGATTCGGCGTTCACGGTTCACGCCTCGGCTCTAATGGAAGTGCTCTATAGTAGAAAATAGGGTCACGAAAAGCCCTCGCGTAATTTCTCTTGCGCTTCTTGTAATTTTCTTTATTTTTTCTTTTCCTACATAAAATTTGATTTGAATCTAAATTTAACGGCCCAGTTTTATTGCTTCAGGGAATCGATCGAGACATCTTTTTTATTTGTATACTTGCAAGCGAATATCGCTATCAAAAACATCAGATGGTTTGCAGATACGTTGCGAATCTTTAGGAAAAATTTGTAAGAGCAGTGCTCGTTATGAGAACGTCAATAGTCACTACTCTGACAAATTTGTTAATGTGGCCACGCACGCACACATGGGTTGTCCACACGCTGACCCAGCAGTCAGAGGATCGAAATCCATAACCCGGGCAATGAGTCGAGGGACGGCCACTCCCCGGGAAATGTTTGGACTAATCTCGGCTCGGATAGTATGGCTATGACGCATGACTCTACACTTACGTCATCCTATATGAGGGTCAAAGGCGCTGGCTCCAGCCAGCAGGAGCTTTTACGGTTCCACATTCGGGGAAGTTTTGTAAAGAAGACCGGCGTGAAGAGGAAGTATTGTACTTTGCGTTTAGTCGTATGAGTGACCATTATTTCATTTACAACCCAATAGGTATAATTATTTGTCTATGGATGGCAGTTATCCATTCACGTAACTTAGATAAACTAACTACAAGCTAAAACTACCTTTTTACATAAAAACAAATAACAGACCGTACAGTTTCTTTTCTGTTCTGCGGTCTGCTTATTACCGCCAATTAACTTAGGACCAATTTCACCAATCATTGGTGCACAAATTATTTGCCTTAATATAATATGATTAGGATGTTACCTTTCTTTTGCATTTGTTAAAAATGTAAAAAATTGTTTTTGACAAAAAAATTACCGACTTCAAATAAAATGATGTACGTAACTATTACAACGTTACATGCATATTTATGCGAGAGCAGCAATCCCGGTTGATTTCCTGTCATATTTCGAAGAGTTTTATTCCTATCTCCGAAAATCATCATCAGATCTATATGAAATTTCTAAGGGACCATTTCGGAATGAAACCCTTTCGAACAAAACAGAATTTCGCAAATCCGTCTGTACAGGAAGGCTTTTCTAAGTGTATCCATTTTTTTTATTAAATGCTAGACATAAATAATCTTATACAAAAACTTATAAATTTAAAATCACTCGTAATTACTTAAATACATTCATCTGAACTTATCTCAAAAAGTGCGTGATTTATGGGCAACTCATTTATTTTACGCGCGTTCATTCATAACTAACACGCACACAAGTTCGTTTCAAAAGTATACGACGTATTTATGAATGACTACCGCAATGTCAACAAGTTCTGTTTTTTAGGGAATGGAATGGCAATTAAAAAAAAAAGCAAAGTTTGTTTTTATTTCAATAAACGATCATACTACGGAGTTTGAACCTCCTGAAAATTTGGGCATGTTTAGAAAAGCCACCCTTTATGCGATGAAATTATGCCCGAACATACATAAAAAAATATAAAAAACCGATTTCTTTTTGAAGTCGGTTAAAACATTTTTATGGCAGGGCTGGGTATTAAATGGGTGTTTGTCCATTTGAAACTTGTTTATGGAAAACTTTCCTAGAACATGGGCTAAGCGGGAGTAAAATGTAAATAAGATGAACTAATAGTTCATATCAGTATATATTTAGAATAAATATAGTGATGTGCTATTTAATTCTGACCTCAGCGCCGACATTATTTATAATGTAAATCGTACTCGGTAAAGATCGATGATTGTTAACACAACCTCTAGTTTAAAAATGTATAAAAACCTTATGAACATAAATTATAAAATGTTAAGCTCTCTAGTAATATTAATTGTAATGCATAGAATAGTGTTTTTGTTTTTAAAATATATTTACCCTGTAACTGGGAACTTAAAATTAAAGTTTCATTTAGAAATGTTATGCATACCTTGAAGTTAAATACATATATAGTATAAATCTGTTGGTACCTGTGAATGTTTATTAAAAATGTTCTGTATGTGTTGAGTTGGTAAGCCTAAATAAATATATCAAAATCAAGTTAATAAGGAAAATCCAAAGAACTTACTTCGCCATCTCTGATAACTGTAGTCTTCCGTCTTTGTTTGAATCGAAAACTTGTAGCTGCAAATCATGAATATCACATAAGTATCAAGTTAATTATATATTTTCATAGTGAATGTGTGCTAAGAGGTTTGACGGGAGCGTATGTACAAATTGGCGATATGCTACTACAAGATGCGCTTTGTTTCTTCCACACTTCTCAAGGTATGCAGGGTCAGTGGGAGTTAGAAATCATTGTCTGTCAATCGTGACAGGCAATGACCCCCGCAAGGCACACATCGGCGTGTCAAGTAATCAACAGCTCGCGAGAATTTATTTTTGTGTTTAGATGTTTTGATGACTGCGTGGCGCAGTTGCCAAGGTATTGGCTTCGGCCTCAGGGGTCGTGGGTTCGATTCCCACACGGAACAACTATTTGTGAGACCCACAGATAGTTGTTTCGCATCTGGGTGTTTGTCTGCGTGAAATTTATGTTTCTAAAACGTCATTACAACACTGGATAATATTGTCCTAAAGTAATGGCAAAGTTTAAAAAAAAAAAAAAAAGATGTAAGTTTATAGAGGTACAAGGCTAGGCGCCAAAATTAACGGTATCCAACACATTAATGCCTCGTGATTCCGTCGTTATAATTTACTGAATTCTTGTTGAGTTTTTTGAATCTCAACATAATTTTGCAAACACTCATATACAACATATGAATGAGGTGAATTGGATACCCCGAAAGACCTTTTTTATTCCGTACCTTTATTAGTTCATGCAACTAATAACATATGGATGATGTCTCTCGCTTTTGATCTATGTCAATTAATCTATTTAAGAGTATTTCTTCAGTCTTACTGGTAACTTATAATACTTACCATTGTATCTGTGTATTCGATGAGCTTGTCCTCAGACACATCGTTGATTTTCTTCGCCTCCTTCAACAGGTCTCGAAGAAAATTCTAGAAAAACCAAGTGCACGTTAGATACAGCCCTATAGTATTAAATGAGCGATTGTTGTATATTTCGTTTCAGAAACGGAATGTCTAACAAGTTAGATAAAATTTTGTCTAGATGGAATCAGTTTATGCTTTTTAATTTCATATATGCCTTTTACTCAACGAGGACGTTTTTTCTTTACTAATCTTTACATTACACTGTACATTACATGTATAATGTACATACAGCAATGACACATTGCGTAATTTGAGGTACTTAAATTGTCGTTATAGCATGTTATTTTACTATTGTCTCAACACTTTCCTAGATGGCAATATGATAATATCAGAATAACTTTATCGAGTTATATTGCAGAAAAAATACCATTTAAAGGATAGAAAACATGGGTGAAACTCGATCGCCATACACACATGTTAAGAATGTCAAATTTGTGAATGCTCGATGTTTCTCTGGAACTATTTTCGTAAGTTTCGATAATTAAGACAACAAAGACGACCCGTGTAGCATTTTGCTTACGTCTGTGAAGACTTTGTAAATATTCCTACGTGTTTCATTATCTCGACTTTTGCCTAATTGTTCGTTCGATACAATTCTTGCAATTGTTTTGCAACAATTTTCTTACCTTAAATTACTTACCTTAAATTTTTATCTTATCTATCTTACTAGAAATATAAGCGCGGTAAAACCATCATCACGTGCATCGCATGGACTTCTCCAGACTTTCAGGTCAAGTCATGCTCCGATGCTCAGAGAAGTGTGGAGCTGCTCCGCATCAAAGACTGCGTCAAGCGCGACTTGTCTGCCTTTAACATCGAGCTTGGTACATAGTAAAAGCTCGCAAAAGATAACCAGTGGAGGTAAAGAATCAAGAGGGCATCCCAGTCAATGATAGAGCTTGTCGAAAGCTTGCCTAAAAGAGAATCGAGTGGGCATGGTATATGGGACACGCTCGAAAAAGATCGACCAATGGGGGGGAACTAATCAAGAAGGCATCCCAGGCAATGATTGAGCTTATCGAAACCTTGCCATAAAGAGAAGCAAGCGGCATGACCGTGATGCTTGTACACCTTGCCAAGTTTACATCTACTTTCGTTGGGAGCGATCTTATCAGTCCAGAATTGGAATGTTTAGTCATCAAAGAAAGTCCTCAATCATACACTATACACATAAATCATCTGTTATAGATGTACTCGTTTGATGACTCCGTGGCACAATTGCCAATATGTTCACTTAGACATCGGGGTCGTGGGTTCGATTTCCACACGGGACAACTATTTGTGTGAACCACAGAATGTTGTTTTGCATCTGGGTGTTTTCCCACGTGAAGTTTATGTTTGTAAAACAATACAGTATAATGTTATCCTAAAGTAAGGGCAACGTTTTTAAAACAATGAAAGGAAAAAAAGTTCTAAATGACGTAAAAAACATTATCTTCACCTGCTGTTGCCGAGTTTTCTATATTTTGAAACTTTTACTTACGTTTCCTGATAGTGGATTTATTCATACGCATACTGAAAGTTTCTGGAGCTCAAAAGGTACAATAAAAAAAAGTACAAAGCAATTACTGATTTGAAAATGGAACCCTGGGAACTGTTGGTTTTTAATTTGCGAGATTGTTATATATTTCTTTATTCGTCCTATATAAAGTTGCGAAGAAAAATATCGCTTAGTGGTTTTTAAGGTTTTCTCTGGTCAAGCACACATCGAACATTGAAAAGGAGACTGTATGGGGCTTTAACTGGTATTTATTAATGAAATTCTATATCGATGATATACTCGTGTTTGGAAAATTTTGACGTGGGCACGATATCCTCATGACGAAGTACGTGTAGCCCGACTGTGCGATGGCGACTGCGATTGCAGAACCCAAAATTGATATCTGATTGAAACGGGAAAGAAGTCTGCCTGTACTATATTAGGCATTGCGCGAAGCCATAGAAAAGGCTATATATAATCGGTCCAACCAAAGTAAAAAGGGTATATATTGTGAGGACCGTACATGTATTTTGAAAATTGTTTATAAGCGTGTATGTACCAGATATTACATTTATGACAAATTTATTGTTTGTCTACACACAATCCACAAACTTTTAGTATGATCTAAGCCTATGAGACTCACTCACTGAAACTTGGAGAATGATTCCAAGAGCATTGCGTTCAAAGTTCAAGCTTGAAACTTGAGGATCATATAAAACTATTTCATACAGATGGATCAATATAGTCGATATCAGGTTCAACTTACCTTCAATTCGTCGGCTTCGATGTACCCGCTACCATCTGTGTCATACTCCCGCCAAATCTGTTAGTTTGTGTAGAATTAATGTAACAAATTAATGCTGTGAATGAGTAAAAGAATGAAGTTCATTTGACATACAAAAAGAAGAAAAGTTAATAATACGTATATAAAACATCTTATTAAATTCGTTTACTAACAATATTTTTATGATCTGATTTCACGTTATAACAGTCACTCATCTACTTGCAGATTCATTGTCAACATATAAAAGTACTACAATAACGTTTCATATCGGACTATTTATGCCATGTTACTCTAAAACTAGTACCCGGAGGACCGAGCTTTGCTCGGTTTGTTTTTTTTTTGGTAAATCGTGTATTTTGGAAATTACATTTAGATACAAATTAATAAGTAATGAAATATGCATAATATTTTTCGATCTTACCGACTTAATAATAAGAAAATATGAACTGATGTTTTTCACAAAAGAAAGAACTTTAAAAAAAAAGGGAATAAAATCAAATCGACAAAAAATTAAAAATATAGAAATTAATGATCTGGAATCGAAAAAAAAGTAAAAAAATAAATGTGTAAATGATCGTGACGCGAACCACGGTCGTCTGTTTTGGGGCCGCCCGATTACCGACCGAGTTATCATGACATTTTCTCTTGCGGCGAAATTTACCGTCATATTCGAATTATATTTTTCATTCCCTGAAAACAGGGATAAAAGGACATTTTCTAAAAATGAAACCTAGCTAGATTGATTTTTCGCCCCTGAATCTACGCACATACTAAATTTCATGAAAATCACCGGAGCCGTTTCCGAGTTCCGATTACATATATATATATATATATATATATATATATACAAGAATTGCTCGTTTAAAGGATAAGATATTTTTACTTAAACACAGTTTACATGTCTGATTGAGTTATTGGATAATAGATTTATAGATAAAGAGGGATTTGCAAATTAGAATTAATTGTGGACATGGAAAATTACCTGTTAATGAAGTTAATGGACGTATTCAAGCCCGATATTTTATCATATAAATTAAAAAGATATAACGTAACTGACTGTGGCAGTCTATGGGGGAGGCCTAGGTTCAGCAGTAAACTCAAACAGGCTGAAATGATGTGGATGTACCTAACTCATAGTCAAACGCAATGCATGTTTCAAAGCAAGCATAACTCTTCATGACAGTTTGAGAGGCTAACAAGATATTCAGCCGTTTCACACGCATGAAATCTGAACAACGAAAATCTTTGGAGCTCGACTCCGAGTTAAAAAACTCGCTACCTCTGTACATACTATCCAACGAATTATTTTTTGTCTTTTATTAAAGAAGATGGCAAGCGAGCTGGAGGCCCATGGAACAACGGTTACAAATGTGTTGCCAGCTTTTATTGAAGCGGGTTTCGGTTACCTCACTCGCCAAACGAAACGCATACATATAAAACTTCCACTTGAAGTCGATCTTCTTTGAAGTCGTGGTACTTCTTCGGATGGACCTGCCTATTCGTGCACCGTACCCACACCCTCTGGCGTAAAATAGGTTTGCTATCTATGACGCCAATTGTACTAACCCTACTTGTAGCTTTAATTTAGGAGAGCCACGAATGGGCAGCCTTAACAGAAAATGTACCAGGGCCTCATAGCTGATCGACGCAACGTTAAAGTGTTCGTACTATTTAATTTTACCAAGCATTGCAGATGTCCAGTAGAAGCGGTGTTGATATTCTCGTGCGCACCACAGGTTATAAAAGAAAAATATATCAGATACAGAATGAACTTACTTTCATAAATTCGACGCTCGACTCTAGGGGATTGTCGAATCTGAACAACAGCAGAAAGTTTTCCTCCATCGGAAGTAACTGTGCCAGCTGCAAGCAGTAGTAAATGTATTTATACTAGCTAGAACATTTTAGTATAAGCAACGGTCTAGTCTAGAAAATGTTTATGAGACAACTACGAGTAACTACTACTACTCGCGGCTATGTTCACCTGGTAACAAGATGAAATTACTTCCAAGTTATTCATATTATTATTAATGAAAATATAACCTAAAAGTCATACTTAACGCATTCATATTTTAACTTTAAAATTGCTTATGTGCATATAATGTAAAATAGAAACAATAAACAATAAATAGACAGTTATAAAGATATCTTAAATATTTCATTGAGAATGTTATTACTTATATTCTATTTCCATTACAAGCTTAATTTTAATCCTTTAAGCTGAGCTCTGTAGAAATACCCACTCCCACAAACTTCCTTCAGCCCTCGCGTAAGTTCGTCTGCCGCAAATGCGACTGCAGGAAAGGGAAGCTGCAGAAGTTAATTCCTGTGTCGTGTTTCAGATGTCGATTGCAACACAAAGGTGACTGGACCATTTTAACTTGGCAAGGCATATTCTAATCAGAGCTAGTACAGGAAGATTTTGCCTACATATGCTATGTACTGCTATATTAATGGTTTACCTCTCTTATATCGATTTTTCCATCTTGATTGTCATCGTAGGCCTCCATGAAGCAAGCTTTTAACTCCACCAGCATTGAGTCGGAGACTGCCTGTGGATACAAGGCACGAACGATGCATGGATTAATTAGTGTAAATTTATAAGTTTTCATTCGGAAACAAAGAGAAACAATATGTACACAAAGATAGAAACTAAACAATGAAAAAAGTAGTTACAAAGGTCCTATTTTACCTGTATAGCTAATTAAAAATGAAATACTACTAAATATAATAAAACAAAAAACCTAAAGCACAGTATACTGTTACAGTTCATTTATTTACTCCTTAAATGAAAACTTAACATTTTCCTAAATGTTACATGCATTACAAAATCTTACGTTCTTAACTTAGCACTGATTTAGCAAATGTCGGGCAGTCACAGTTACGATTTCGCATAGCGCTCACGATTCATCATTGTCTGGGTGCTCGCTTTTAAGTCACTATAATAAGGTAACCTAATCGATCCCCGGTGCCGGCAACAATTAATTTTGAGTGCGGACTTACCACGTGCTCAGCGATGAAGGCATATTTTCCAAATAAAAATAATCTAAGATAAATGAAGTCCGCCAATCCGCAGTGGGGTAGCTTGGTGGACTATGCCCTAATGCGCTTTGTAGAGAATTCAAATTCAAATATCTTTATTCGATATAGAAGTATTATTACACTTATTGATTGTCAAAGCACTACCTGGCACTTATTGATTGTCAAAGCACTACCTGGCACTTATGATTTTCAAAGCACTACTTGGCACTTATTGATTGTCAAAGCACTACCTGGCACTTATTGATTGTCAAAACACTACCTGGTTCGGAAAAGAAAAGCCACTTAACTGACTATATATTAAACTCAGCGAGACATTTTTAGAGGAGGCCCAGCAGTGGGGCATTTATACTTTTTTACTATAGTTACTTTACCTTTTTACTATAAATCAAAATATAGTAGGTAAATTAAATCTGGAATAAGTAACGTTACATTAAAATAACAATACAGAATGTGTTAACCCTACGGGCATTCTGATATTTAATTAAACACGACCAAAATTCATGTTTTCGATTCCACACATCCTTCCTTATGTTTACATTTTCCATGCAGATTATTTACAGTTCATGTTGAACTGTAAATAATTGGTTGAGAATGTTTTAGTGATTCACTTTATCCGTAATACTAATATTATAAATGCGAAACTAACTCTGTCTATTTATTTGTTAAACTGTTGTGTGTTATATGGCTACACGATGGAAGCGATTCTGGTAATTTATTTTGCAGCTAGAGTATTACCTAACTTTGGAGAAAATCATCGAACAGATAGTATAACATTAAAAGCTTAACGTTTGTGACATATTTCTGAAGGACTTAAAACGATTGCAAAACGCTTTTTTAAGCATGTGGTCAACAAGGAACGTAAATAAATCAATATTGACTGGAGAGAAGGTAAACATCATGAGAAATCCTATATATATGTCAGAGATAATTTCATAAGTTCCCCAATCAGCAGTGGGTTTGCAAGGTGGAGTATGCTCTATATTTGCCAACAGTAGAACACATGTAGGCTGTTACTATACTTTTTTCAGTCGTCTTTTGCGTGTCGTTACATAATGTGTTCACCGAAATGCTGGACAAGAAATATAATTGGTTCAAAAATTCAAATTAACTTTTTAAAACTTTAATAATTTAAACATATATTTTATTATACATATTTCTTTACAATTAATTTAAACAGTTATTGCAAATTCCGTAAATTCCGTACTCATATAAAGTATTGCTGCAACCTCACACAAAGTATGCATTTAAAACGTGACATCTTGTTTAAAACTGTATACTTTTTATGCGCAAATTTTTCGAGTGGAAAGCAATTTTGTAAACAAAAGCGAGCTGACGGCAGCTATCATTCATACTTGGCAGCATTTATTTTTATGATAAGACTATCCGTAGAGCCGTCACTTTTATTTAAAGCGCTTGGAGAAATGTTAAGGAAAAGGTAGATGTTAACATTTTGCCTAAGAATTTTGTTCAGTGTGTATGGATCCGAGCAATGGGCAGCAAAAGAGAGGAAAATGGTAGAGATGCAAATTTTGAGGGGCGATAAATGTGGAAAATTTTAGACTAGCAATAGCTATTGCTAGTCTACAATTTTCTCAAATGTGGGCGTCAATGAAAATTACGTGTCACATAATATGCCTTTCACCTTTATAACATTCAATTAACCCGCTCTTTTGAGGAAATCTTTGAAAAAAAAAAGCTAAACAATTTTCCTAAAATGAATAATATGCCTTTCACCTTTATAACATTCAATTAACCCGCTCTTTTGAGGAAATCTTTGAAAAAAAAAAAAAAGGCCTATGAATCATTTCGGACATATCATTTACGTAAATCAGGAGTGGCTGTTCCTACATTGTTTTTTTTTTTAATTTTTATTAATTTTCTATTTCTGATCGCTGTTTTTTCTAATAAAATTAAGGTATTTGGAATATAAAAAAAATTCACATGACAAAAAATTCGTTCTTCAAGTCATAGTCAGCGATCTCGCCCATTATTTTAAGTTGTATGATGTTTGTATGGTTTCTTTCTTAGCATATCGTATTCATGCATTTTTTATCTACGTGATGACACGTGCGAACAAAAAACTATTGACATGTTTTCATTTAATTGGTCAATTTGATCTAAATATTACGGCAATAGTAGGCAATAGAAATTACAATCAAGAATAGAAAGGTACAGGTACAGAGGAAGAGTCAAATGCTGAGTGTTTTCGATTAATGCTGAAGAAAGTTAATGTTTCTCATGAATATTTAGAGTATCTGATAATTTTTTCGAAAATTTATTTCAACGTTTTATATTCCTTATATTATGTTGCAAACGTAGATGATTTACACGTAGGCATCCAAAGCGAAGCGTCGAACGCGGCATTAAAGTGATAAATTTAAATCGAAAGCCATACTGCGACAAGTTGCGTGAAATTGGACGGGCGCCAACCCAGTGGAGCGTATTTCATGATGCGTGGAAGCATTGCGACAGATTTTTACGGTGCATAACATTGCTTTGGTGTTTACCTTAATGAAAACATAGAAGTACTGATGCTCTCTTTAATAATTCATTAAATAATAAGATATGTAAGTGAAAACCGAGGTACTCACGATTAGTTTATTGCTTAAGGTCCAACAACAAGGTGCTAAATTGCCACGAGATAAATATGTAATCATCGAAAGTGTATTCAAGTAACATAATTACACGATTAATTTAAAAAAGAAGCCATCCATTATAAATTCCGTACATACCTTGCATGAAATTCGCAAATAGAATTCAAAAGCTTTCCGACCACACTCTCAACCTCTTGGAAAAAAGACGTGAGATGCGGCTGCAGTCTTTAACAGACATGTTAGACAGGCGGCTTAATAGGCAGATATCCAAATACATGCGGCGACTTAATGCAACTTCAAAACAGCTCGTATTGAGGGAGCTATACAGTGGAACAAAAGTAGCTCAAAATTCTTATTAAGTGGTATTAACATCATTGGCGAATACATCATCCACCTTCGATTTGCCGACGACGTATTTATTATGGTATGATGAGTCGCTGGAGACCAGACTTTTTGGAACTTGCTCAATGGTCTCAACAATGTTTCCAACGGGTGGGACTTAAGATGAACATGGACAAGACGAATATCATGACTAATGTCCATGTTACTTTTCTACAAGTGCATGTACCGGTACCACTACATCATTTCTTTTCATTAAAATCAGTGGTGGTCAAGTACAAGCTGGTTTACGGTAGAACTTTACTACCGCCTATACTTGACCCTCAAGAGAAATATTCATTCTCAAAACCGTGTTAATTTTTTGCGGCACTTCCGCCTGTAATTTACTATACGCTAGTTTCGGTCACAGATTGGCGTGTCGCTAACTCAGCAGCATAACAGTAACTACAAATAGTTTATGAATGTTCACTTAGCTTGCCCTTATGTTGTTAATAGTATTGACTAGATTTTTTACGCCAGCCTCACCATCAATCCTCAACGCTAGTTTATGTATGTCTGTCTAATGCAAAATAGGAAAAGAAATTCTAATTAATAAATATTTTTTTATACTATTTGACAAAAAATAAACAACATTTCTAACTCCTTGACGGTCGTAGATTTTTAATAAAGCCAACAGAACGTGTACTGCGGCGCAGGCCAGCAGGAAGCACCGCCCCGACATTGTATTTCGAAAACAGACGGTCTCAGTGAGAAGCAATTTCGCAAGCAAAGTTACGTTTCGCTCCACAAACGGTTTATTAAAAATTCTAAGAGTTGCAACCAAAAAACTACCTTTGATGTTCTATATTTCCAAAAATTTAAAGGAACTCAAAGTTATGTTACTGAGATTTTTTAGTCGCAAAGTCATCTCTTGCAAAGTCTTTTTTTCATGTGGTAACTCTGACAATAACGTATACTGAATTTTGCTCCTAATTTTTAATTAAATTATAATTGTAAATTGTTTATATCCACTTCAATTTCATATCCTTTTCAAAAATATAATTAAAATTAATAATGTAAAACAAGTCGTTACATATTATCGTGTATATGTTTGTGAATTAATAATATAAAGTGATCGAAATAACAACAGGTAATGAACTTCATTTTGAAATTCTATGTAATTCTTGTCACCTCCTTCTGTGCATTATTTATTTTTAATTATAATACTCATCTTTGCAAAGAAAAACAACAATTGGCTTCTTCAGTAGAACAGTTTTCAATTGAGATGGATAATGTTAGGATTAAGTATGAGGCTGATATAGAGGGTCTTAACTCTGAAATATCTGGGTTATATAACTCACTAAATGTAATAACAAATAAATATAAATCAGCCCAGAAGGAGATTTCCACTCATTGACATTTTGGCCATGGAAGAACTGGTTAAGTTATGTAAGCATAATGACAGTTTGTGACTATGTTATTAGTCATAATAGCTCCTCTGGCAATGCTGATCTCTATGACAGTTCCATAACTAAAGATTTAAATTTTGTTGAAAATAAAATTATTGTTTACAGTGATGAATT